GGTCGGGGTCTTGCTTGCTATGGAAACTCGCACACACGTGTACCACAGCATGTTGGAGTGTTTGTCGGCAACTCTTGCTGTTTGTGTTTCCGGTGCGTTTCGTTCTTCGGTCGTGCGTGTCTTCGAGCTGAGTCGACGCCGTGTTTCATGCACGAACTGCTGATGCGCGACGCCGTTCGTGACGCTCGTGCCCCCTGTTCCTGACTGTCCTCGCACACACACCCTTCAACGACATGGGTACCTCCCCTACTCCAAGTAAGTGTCGTCGCCGATCCTTCTCGCGCAACCCCACCTTCATTTATGCCACTCGTAACCGCCGTCGTGCCCCCCCCCCCCCCCCCCCCCCCCCCCCCCCCCCCNCCCCACCTTCATTTATGCCACTCGTAACCGCCGTCGTGCCCCCCCCCCCCTGCCAGTAGTGAGGGCTGGCGCTCCATCCACGACGCCGCCCCCCCGGGTCACCTGGAAGGAAAAGCGGCACATTCACCCTTGGCAACGGTCATAGGTTAGCGGCGGCTATCGACGAAGGCTCGCGGGGAGCGGCTAGTGGCAGGACAAGTTAGGCGCCTGGAGCTGGATCGCAAACCATCTGGCTGGGGGAGAGAGCGGGTCAACCCAGATCGTTGCACCTCCGGTGCCTCCGTCATCCGCGCTCTTTTTGGGAGAGGAGTTCACCCAGCGGAGAGACGCCGCCAGCGCTCGATCTGCTGCGATCTCTTGTTTGCTCCGAGCCGTGTAGTGGTCTATCAGATTGAATGCTGTATAACTGGCGGGAGCCTCGCTCTCCGTGCTGGCGGACAGCTGCATGTGTTTCGTGGAAGTTTAAGATGCTCGCACTGTTATGAACACTCGGTCCTTTGTGAAGGGTTTTGGTTTCCCGGGAACTACTTGTGTAGTACGTCGTAGAAGGTGCTGGACATCAATTATCCGCCTTGCGAGGCACGGCAGAAAGGAATGGGTTGAGAAGGCCGTGCGGCAATTTTTCATCCTGGGTAACATTCTTCTACGGTCCAGAAATCGCAGACCTTGGACAAGGTTCGCCTTTAAGGTGACGTTTGGGCCCTTTCACCTTGCCCAGGGTGCGTGCAAGGTCACCGTTCCGCTGGACCTTGCCCAACGCTTGACCTTGCATGACCTTGGGGCATCTTTTACCTCGCAAAAGGTCCTTCTAAGGTCCAGAAATCGTAGACCTTGGAAATGATTCGACTGTTGGTGGACTTTGAGACCATTTTACCTTGCCCAGGGTGCGTGCAAGGTTACAGTTCCGCTGGACCTTACGCAAGCTTCGACCCTGTGTGACCCTGGGGTGTTGTCCACCTTGCGCAAAGGTCCGTGCAAGGTCCAGAAGTCGTCGACCTTGGAAACCGTTCGACCTATTGTGATCGTGGTGCTTTTTCTATGTTGTCCGAGGTCCTTTCAAGGTCAAGAAATCGTAGGCCTTGGGCATGGATCGCCGTCGTGGTGATCTCGGGGCACCTTCACCTTGGGCAAGGTCCTTCTAAGGATCGACAAATAGTAGATCTTAGACATGGTTCCTCTGTGTGGTCACCTTGTGACTTTTAAACCTTGCCCAGGGTGCGTGCAAGGTTTCAGTTCCACCGGACTTGCCCAACGTTTGACTTTGCATTACCTTGGGGCCTTATTTACCTTGCGCAAGGTCCTTCCAAGGTCCAGACATCGTAGACCTTGGACATGGGCACCCTTGTGGTGACCTTGGGGACGTTTTCACCTTGGCCAGGGTGCGTGCAAGGTCTGTCCAAGGTAACCGTCGTGGGTCAACCTTGTGTAAGGGGGGGGTAACGTCCACCCGTGTAGTGGGGAACCAAGTTTTCCGCTTGTGTGTGGCGCTGTGTGGACGGATTTGTTGACTTGTTCCCCACCGCGCCTGCTGCTGCTGCGGTGTGTGTGCTGCGTGCTGTGTGCTGTGTACGGCGTGGTGTACGCTGTGTGTTTATGACCAGCATGCTCTAACCATGGCGCTTGTGTGTGCTTCGATTGGAGTCTTGCACGGCGAGATACAGCTGTTGGGGTGCTTAACTTATCCACTGCACCCACCGTCGTTATGCGTTTTCACCCCACCGGCCGTGGCATCACCAAAGATTTATCGTTCGGCCTCACCATGGGTCCCAAGATAGCCCCACAACGCAGCAATACATTCGTATATGTCTTGTGTCAATTGGAGTGTTGTGGGGGCAGATCCAGCAGTGGGTCCTTGGTGGTGTTGAACGAAGCCGTCTGCAAGAAATTAGAAGGCAGTGTTCGCTACCCACGTCAGGTGTTCGGCGCTATGCCGCGGGATTTCCTGACCTGTTCGCCGCCCCAGCTGCTGCCTGATGCTGTGCGCTGTGCATGCATCGACTGTAAACTTCTGCACGTGCTTGCGTGTCGATCGGAGCCTTGTAGAGGGAGATCCAACTGGTGGGGTCCATAACGTTATCTACCCCACCAGTGAGGTAGTGGCGCATGTTCCCCAACCGTGGCACCACCAAAACTGTGCTGTTTCGGCCTTACGATGGGTCCAATGATAGCCCTGCAACGTCGCAACACGTTCGCTGAAGTCCTGTGCTGATTGGAGTAGAGCGAGCTACAGGTGGTGGGGCGTTTAAGCGTTAACCGCCCCACCGGTGGGGTGGTTAAGAAATTACCCCACCGGTGGGGCGTTAGCCGTGCCAAAAAAAAAAATTCCCCTAACAACCTTGAGCGCGTTGAGCAGATTATTTCCACAACGCGACAGTGGGGTTGAAACGCGCCCCCTCACATGTACGTTAACCCTTATGTGACTACACCCACGAATGAGCTCCTTTCCCAGCTCCGATGACTCCTTAACCCTTATGTGACTGGGTTTTCCCTGGATCTTCCGAGGGTCTTTTTTTTCTACACTGGGCGAAGAGACCGCTGACATCATCAAGGCCAAGGCTATGGAACACAGATATTTCAACCACCGTCTCCCGTTCTCTACACACCCTACCGGTATCTCCCACATGCACTCGAGCACACATGGTCGCATCCACACGCCGCTCCCTTGCTCACACAAATCTTTGGTATGTAACAGCAGACCAACACACATCAGGGCTCTCATCGGTGACTGCTGTACGAGCTGGGCGTGAACTGAATATCGGGTCAAATAGAATAAAATCGTGCCAAATTATCAATTTATATACTACAGATAGAGGGGGAAGATCGGAGCTGTGATCAGAGTTGTAGTCCCGAAAACCCTTGCTATTGTGAGCGAAAAGTGGCCGGGGACGATAGTCTCTACCTTTAGGCACAACAGCAGCAGCAGAAGTAACCCAATCACTACCATCATCATGGACCCAGAGGAAGTTGCTCAGTTTTGGCAGCACATGGCACACCAATGGCATCCCGAGACGGGTCCACGTGTTGTCTGGGATGAGCTGCTGGCCATCGCGAACTCCACGCCAGACCAACTTCCCGACGCCACGGCTGCTGCAGCCCGGTAGAACAGCGCTACTGTCAACACGGGGCAGCAGAGCCGCAGCCCCTACCCGAGATCAGGAACCTTGCGAAAAAAGGAAGACCGCGGCGCAGCAGCACCCCGGTCTCTGCGGGTACCATTGTGTAAGGGACGCTACTGCTACTGTGCTGCTATCCCCGTCGTTATAACGTTCCTTCTCGACGGTCTACTCGTCCAGTCAAGCCCTCGTCGACGCAGGTATCCACAGCTCAATTCGGTTCGATAATGTCGCATTAAAGAGTCATCGGAGCTGGGAAAGGAGCTCATTCGTGGGTGTAGTCACATAAGGGATGCGAAGTGCTTACTGGGGGATGTCAGCCACGCTCGGGCACTCCATGTACAGGCCATCCGTGTCAAACCTCTCACACTGCTGCGTTAAAATTTCCCGCTAGGCCTTGTCGAATATCAACGTTGTCCTTTCATGTTTTACGACCGCAGTCATTCTCAAGTAGATAACGACCGACGGTCGACGACGACGTTCTGCGAGGATTTAATTCAGGGTGATGAATACGAGGTACATGTATGCGTTGCGTGTCGGCAACTGACGCGGAGTGCTTTTGGTCGTCTGTGTGTGTTTTTGCCACTCGCTCAAAGACGACACTTTCAGGGAGGTTTCCCCTTAGACTACCGACCGGGACCCCGGACCCCCGACGCCCGGGCTCGCCGCCCTCGGCCCGGGGGGAGGGGGTGAAGTTCGGGCCCTCATCTCTCTTTCCTAGACAAAAATTCGGGCGTTCGTTTCGGCGCCGAGATAACTCGATTGTCGCGCGGTCTTTCGCGCCCGCAGGGCCCCGGCCGGGCGGGCGGGCTCTCGCGGGCCTCGCCCGTGGGGTTTCGAGGTTCGCCGGGACCGAGGCGGGGCGGGGCGCCGAAGTTGAGCTCCCGGCGGGGAGACCCGAATTTCATCTCCCCGAAAGGGCCCGAGAGGGGAATATCTTCGCCCTTCTTCTGCTGTCTTCTTCGCCCTTCGTCGAACTTCGGAGGCCGAAAGGGCACAATACACCTACCTGCAACCGGCTGTTCGTGCTGCTGCTCGCTGTCTTGATAGGGAAGGGCGATGCCCCTCGCGCTCACCCGACTAGTGCATTCGTCGCAAATAGCTGCACCAGCAACAAACCCATGCACACACACGCGCGCGTCAGCGCGCTAGTAGCAGCAGGAGCAGATGGTTCCCTAGGTGTTAAGATCAAGGTCGAGTGTTGAAGTTTGCAATTCCGCCGCATCACAAACAGCACATCCCACACTTGCTCTCTCTGGCACGACGCTGTCAACCTCTACCGGAGACACCGCGGACGTCGTCATGCTGCGCAAGAAGTCTCACCCACGACCTGCGTGAGCAGCAGTCACCATGGGTCCATCTCCAGGCAAGGATCTGTACCGTACAGAGCGAGCACATGGTTGTGGTGTGGACCGCATTCCTTGCTATGTACGCCTTTCTTCCCTTCGCTGCCTCGGCAAGGTTTTGCGTAGGAATGATCCATAGCGAGGGGGGGGGTCTTTCTAGCGAGCAGGGCTAGACTCACCCTCAGGGGACCGATACCTTCTTGCTGCGGCGCACCCGCCGCGAGGCGTGCGTAGTGGTGGAGTTGGGTCGGCACTGGTGCGTCAGGTACAAAGATGCAGATGCGCGGGCCTCCAGGCTGTCGGTGTAGGCAGCAATGCCCATCTCATCTTTGTGCGCGGAGGCAGACGTCATCAGAAAGGTGGACGGGCACTATGTACACGGCCCTAGGTTTGCTAGAGGGAGCTGTACTGTCTCAGTAACCTGGTTTTGCCATCAAAGGAGGAGGGGACAGGTGGTGACGAGCTGATTGGGCTGGTTGACCCTTCGGCGCGAGAATCTTCAGACCAAGAACCCTAAGTGCAACGAGGGAGAAAGCGAGGAACCGACTGGGAAGGACAGCAACGAGAGCGTGTACGAAGCGGAGCGGGTCGAGTTTGGTCGTGCTAGGACTGGCCACAGCGGCACCGGAGCAGCGGTACCGGAGCAGGCGGACGGCATCGAACCGTGGCGCACGGACAAACATCTCTTGTATTGTCAACTATTTTCCCGTTTTCTTCCTGAATACAGGTGTTGGGTGTGTTGTTGTTGTTGTTGTTGTTGTTGTTGTTGTTGTTGTTTCTCACATTAGCTCTTGTTGTTGTTGTTGACTTCACATTAAACCGTATGCCAGTTGCTAAATGCCAAAATCTAGCAAAGACTCTC